CCTGTACAGTGCATTGGACAAAGCTAACAATGAAATTGGCTTCAGCTGTTCTGTAAGGATGAGAAATCTACTCAGGGACAATGTTTTATCTATGGTATCAGTAACCTCACTATAGTTCGGCCGCTTAGAAAACGACCTGCACGCTAATCCTAGCCAATGCTTGAGGAGGTCGCTATCTAAGCGGCCGAACTATACCTATACAGTCATGCGTCGGTTACCTAAAGCCCGGTTATCCGAAACGTGGCCGACAGAGCAGATTACTGTACCGGCGTTGACGCGATAGCGAGAGACGACCAGCGGCGGTGGCGTAAATAAGGGAGTTGATCAGGGTGATCAATCACCCCCCCCCCCCCAAAGACAAATAATATATATATCTATTTTTTTTTAAATAAATTATTTAGAAAAAATACAAACTAAAAAAATAATATGTAAATACTGCTTTTTTTGCGAATTTCCCATATAGGGAATAAGCTATTACCGTAGGTCTCATGGTAAGACCTGGACCCGGGACCGATTTACTTTTTTGTTTTAAGGTCCCCAGAGGCCAAAAACACCATCCGTTCAAATTCATATGTATATATATATTAAATATCTATCTATCTATCTATCTATATATTAATAGGCAAGCATGTTTCTTTAAAACCTTTTTTCTCAGCTCGTGTGTATCGTAGGGAAAATCTACGCATACCGTTAGAAAGCTATTTTCCTGTAGGTGTGCAGAATACCTTTATAAATTAAAATAGGCTCAAAAATAAGCACAAAAAATGAATTTGAAATTTTAAAAAATTAACATGGGTCTTATGGGTTGCTATGGTGATGACGAAATAACAACAAAATATAAACAGAAAATCAAAACAAATGGAAGACATTCCAATCACATGTTTTATTTACAGTGTGGGGTGAAAATAGAGAAGTTTGCACAAAACATACTTTTGGTCGATTTTTCGACCACGGGGCGTGCTCTCGTCTATATATTAATAGGCAAGCATGTTTCTTTAAAACCTTTTTTCTCAGCTCGTGTGCATCGTAGGGAAAATCTACGCATACCGTTAGAAAGCTATTTTCCTGTAGGTGTGCAGAATCCCTTTATAAATTTAAATAGGCTCAAAGATAAGCACAAAAAATGAGTTTAAAGATTTGAAAAAATTAACATGGATTTTATGCGTTGCCATGCTGGTGACAAAATAACAACGAAATATAAACAGGAAATCAAAACAAATGGAAGAAACTCCAATCACATGTTTTATTTACAGTGTGGGGTGAAAATAGAGAAGTGAGTACATTACATATTTTTGGTCGAGTTTCGACCACTGGACGACCTCTCGTTTAAGTAAATAAGTACAACTGAGCACCCTGAATATTATATTTTACTTATGTCCGAAACATGTCACTTCTTTAAAAAAAATATAATATTCAGGGTGCTTAGTTGTACTTTATTTACTTAAATATTTAATATATCAGCAGCCCTATTACGTGAACACCTAAATTAAAATATATATATATATATATTTATATGTTTATATCTATACTATTATAAAAAAGAGGTGGTTGCTGTATGTGTGTATGTGTGTATGGGAAAAGTAAACTCGAAAAATACTGGTCGGATTGGGCTGAAATTTGGCATGATGATAGCTCACATTCCCGATTAACATATAGGCATATTCTTATTTCAAAAATCCTTTCGGGCTCCGCCCCAGTGGCTCTGGAGTTTCCCATGTTAACCTTATGAGAAATGGAATTATTGAATCTTAACAGCTGTTTCAATTAAACAAGTTGGTTCTGTTCTATGATGTTCAATAGCATTAAAGTTACAAGGATTACCAACAGGGTGCAGCACTATTATTTCTTTTACATTTATGACAACAGCTAATTTGCAACCAAAAGGTGAGTGAGCGTAGCGAACGAACTTCAACCTGGAGGCGAGTTAGCGTAGCGAACGAGCTAACCTGAAGGCAAGTGAGCGCAGCGAACGAGCTCCAACCTAAAGGTGAGTGAGCGTAGCGAACGAGCTCCAACCTAAAGGTGAGTGAGCGTAGCGAACGAGCTCCAACCTAAAGGTGAGTGAGCGTAGCGAACAAACTTCAACCAGGACGTGATTGAGCCATGCGAACGATATAATCTTGAAAATTAAGAAGTTAAACGGGGCAAAGCCCGCGGGTTACAGCTAGTATATATATATATATATATGTCCGTTAGCACCATAACTCAAACAAAAATTATCCGATTTTGATGAAATTTGGTATTAACAAGTAAACCTACATTTATTCAAACGAGTTCGTGAACCAGCATGATCGGACCATGGGAACGGGGGTTTATGGGGGGTTTTATGGGGTAAAAATGGGTTTTTCCCTTTTTTGACCCTAAAAAGGTAAAATTTTTGAATTTCTTTCCCAACCATTTTGTAGAGCTTAAAAAAATAAATAATTTAGTATATTGAAGCATTGTTGTATGCCTAAGGGTTTCGGAGAAAATTCAAAAAAAGGCAAATTTAAAATTCCCATGTTATTCTTATGGAGAAAATGAAAACTGTTGTAGTTGACTTGTTTATGGATATATTTTGATCAAATTTGGCAAATTTATTTATTTCATCCTATACTATTGACGTTTGGTCAAAAAACACTGTTTACCTTCCCCGTAGCAGCAAACCCAAGCACTCGTTAAATCTAATGTTATTTAAATTGGGAATAAATATGTCTTACTTATAGAAATATTTTAGTAAAAATGTAATCAGACAAGCTGAAATTCGCTTAGTCTGCAGGTTTGCTGCGGCGGGGTTTTTTACATATACTGTTAAGTGTGTATGGGTTAAGAAAAGCATACACTAAAACCTTTAGTATCTAATAGTCAATGATAAAACTTAGGAATTTTAAATTTAAATTAGCAAAAGGAAGCAGCAATATATCTGCAAGCCACAAGTTGAGACAATTTGCGAGCTTGCCTATGCTGTTGGACACACACTACCAGCTGGGAAAGTCGCTAAAATCACGCTCTTAAGAGTGTACATTTTAAAACTGTTTAAGTGAATCAATTAGCCTATGTATATTTGGTTTAATGTTGCTGAACAATATATCGGTCAAAAGAAAGGGCCAGTGATCGGACTTGTTCAAAACCAGGAAATTGAATAACTGTTCTCCTTCTGTACCTGATGCAAATGAACCTGTTATTTCTGTTCAACTACCTTCAGTAAGTTCATGAACCTCAGAAGAGACAGTTGATTTTTGAAGTACTTTTGAACGTGATGGTTACACCTCTGGAATGCCTCAAAATGTATTGCAATATAAGTAAATATTTGTTTTGATTTGATTGTTATTGTTTTTATAATTTTTTTCTAAATGGTGAAATGGCATGATGGAAGGAAAATACATTGGTGTGCTATTACCGTCATATGCTGACGTCACCCAGGTTGCAAACAAAAAATCAGCTGATTGTATTGTGGTGAGTCGGTGGCTCAGTTGGTAGCGTCACGGACTTTGGGCCCAAGGCAGAAGTGTCGTGGGTTCGGATCCTGGTCACTGCCACAAACTTTTATCAGTACAGTTCACCTTTGTACTGTACCGGCTCACCCCTTGCTTTGCTGGATACGTTCCACGCACAGATCTGTAGTCTATGTGGACGGGCAAATGCAAGGTTAAAAGAGGCCACCAACCTCTTTTTTAGTAAAAAAAAAAAAAAAATATAAGAATACATTTGTTTTGATTTGATTGTTATATTTTTTAATTTTTCTAAATGGTGTTAAATGGTGTGCAATCTGAGTGACGTCAGCATATGACGGGAATAGCACGCCTGTTTTTTTCTTCCACCATGAGGTGAATCTACAGGGTGTTTTTTTTAAAAAACTTGCATCTTTATTTATGTAAAAACCGCAATAGATAGAAATATGCAGTTTGCGGAAATCATCTATTGACGTAGAGGATCCCAATTGTTTTGAATTCTACGTTACATTCACATTCCCCCCCTGCCCCCAACTTAATTTTTTTAAATAGCAAGGTACCCCTTGTGACATATTAAATAAAAGAGCATAAAAAAAGAAAATATTTGATGAAAAAAAATTGAAAATCGGTTCATAAATTTGCAAGACATTCCCCCCCCCCTCCCCGGAACTTAATTTTTTTTAATAGCAAGGTATCCCTTGTGACATATCAAATGAAAGAGCATGAAAAAAGAAAGTGTTTGGTGAACTTTATTTTTCATTTGATATGTCACAAGGGCGGGTACCTTGCTATTAAAAAACAAGTTATGGGTAGGGGAAAAGGGGGGGATTATCTCACAAATTCATGAGCCGATTTTCAATTTTTTTTTCATCAAACATTTTCTTTTTTCATGCTCTTTTATTTGATACGTCACAAGGGGCACCTTGCTATTTAAAAAAATTAAGTTGGGGCAGGGGGGGGAAAGGGGGGGGGAATGTGAATGTAACGTTGAATTAAGAAAAATTGTGCCCCCTACGTCAATAGATGATTCCCGCCAACTGCATACTTCTATCTATTGCGGTTTTTACATAAATAAAGATGCAAGTTTAAAAAAAAAACACCCTGTATATACAAATCCCAAAGTACCCAAGAACTTTTGAGAAAACTAAAAGTCACACCCCCATAAACCATATATTTAAAATTTTTGTCATGAAATTGCCCTTTGAGGTGTGATGTTCCAGTCCAGTGAGCTGAAACCCTACTGGACTGATGCTGTTTTAGGGCTTAGTTCTCTTCAGGCCAGTTATTTTTTTAACATTTGCTTAATTTATTTACAACGTAAGAAGCGTGTAAGATAAAAATGAATGAATGTGTTGCATTGCCAAGTTAAAAATTCCATTAAAATAAATTGAAATTTCACTGAAACCTTAGATGACATGGGTTTCCTCTGTATTGCTTTTACAATCCAAATAAACATACCGAGCCAAGGCACAGTCCCCCAGTACTACGTGATATAAATACAAATAATACCCAGCATACATTGGGACATGTGTTGTGATAAACAAACAGGAGAAAATAAATGCAAGGATAATCAATATCAATACATCTTTATTATGGTTCTATTGCTTCACTATGTCGGTTCGATGTATAATAAATATTGGGTTACTGAGGATTCCTGTTGCAAATAAAAAGAGCCAGGAACAAAACATGGACATTGCTGTTTACGAACGGTACAACAAATGAACAGAAGTCAGAGGTCGTCTATAATACAGGAAGATTGACAACACTAAGTATGGCTAGAATGTTCTTTTCCATAATATAGATTTATACATAAAAAGATAATGAATTAGACAAGACTTACAGTAAATTTCATTCCTAAATGTAAATAACAAAAACACCAACAAAATGGCTGACTGTAATTACACACGGGTACAGTCAATTCTATTACAACTGTCAACTATAAAGCCTAAATTGTATAAAAATTTATTTAAATAATTTGTAAAATAAACGAATCTCACTTTTAACACAGGTATTAAACAAATAAATTTTATAAATACACCAGCTTAGAATAAAGCTTTTAGCAATTGGTTTTCCAGTCTGATTTCCAAAGAGATCTATTTACACTATAGAAACATATTAACAAATAAGTACATTGATACATAATCGATAGATAAAATTTAATTTCTTTTGCTAGACGACTCGACTTGAACGATCGCCGAGAAGACGGGTTCTGAGGAACCACGATCTCCGATACAAACTACAAAACCAATGCTTCATCGTAGATAAATACACAAATATACACTATAAAAATATAAAGAACACGCCAAATGACATTCGGTGGAAATCTTACAAGGGGAATCGTCTTGATGGTAAAGTATCACAAATTAAGTAGATCGACTAAATGAAAAGCTGCGTACTGTACTCCTTTTCGGCCGATACAAAATGAGTCTATCGCTAACAGAACATCTTGGCACTTCGTTTTAAAACACATTTAAAAAATTAATCCTATACATTTCTACATTAATTACATAATATATTTGGGAAAAATACAAAAATAATGATGACACCTATAGCACGACTTGAAGAGCATCTGACATAGAGTATAAAAAAGTAACAATGGCTTACGTCGATATTATTTAGTGAGCATAACACAACTGAGTCAAAACTTGACATAAATCACATGGCTTAAATGATAGCAACAACATTTTAAGTTAGGATTAATAAATGGTTTACTTAATATAGTAACAAAAACAACAAAACAACATATTTTTGATTAGCTAGAATATGTTCTATGTGTTCCTGTGTTTATTGATTGTTGGACTGAATTTTAATGTTTAACATAACATAATTATTTTTTTTTAATTACAGTATACACAAATGGATTGAAAAAATAATAACCAGAAAAATTGAGGTTTGGTATGTTTATTACTGAAGCAAAAACTAACAAACAAATATTGCACAATAACAGGTGAGATTTTATTATAAACGAGAAATGTGTATTTATTATAAATTATACAATCACATGAACATACTCTAATCCATTTTGTACATAGGTAAAATTATACAACTAATTATTACACAATTCCCCAAAAAACATATCAAAACTTGTTTGCTAGATTAGAAATAATTTGAGTTTACATTGATTCACATCAGGCCTCACATTCCATAGGGTTCTTGCTAGTTCAAAGTTTTTACAAAATTTGAAGTTCAATTATAATAATTTATGATTCTTGTTAATTGCTAGTAAAATTCAAAGAATACAATAATAATAAAGACTAAAAATACACATGGATTTTTATAGACATAAAGAGATTTTTAAAAAGTCAATGGGTTTTTTAAAGAAATCAGTTGCCATACCAGTTTTTTTGTCGGTATATCATTAAGTGCATTGTGACAGATTATGTACTATAAAATACAAATTATAGAACAAAATATATATTTTTAAATATATCAATAAAATATTTAAATTCCTATGATCATTTAAGAAAACATCAGGATGAAAGGCTTGGTTGTGAGGCCCAGATATGGTGGGAGATCAAAATTGATAATAACTGCCAAATCAAAAATAAATGGGTTCCAGTATAGTAACTATAAAATGAAGACCTATTCATGACATTTTTATATCAAAACCTGGAAATACTCAATTGTCTTTTAGTATAAATCTTTTAATGCATACATTTTGGATTGATTTGAATTCAATTCCTTGTTAATAACTTGTATCAATGTGAAATTGTTTTCTTACACAGCATCTTATTATTTACTTCACCATAAATATGAATGTGATGTTGAACATGTGATTAGATTACATCTCCCATAGAATTAACATTGGTAATCCAATAGATTAGTCTTCATATGTTATTCTTCATAAGTTTTATGAATTCAGCAAGCTAATATTTTCGGATACTAATCACAAAACAGTAATTGTTTGGTAAGAAAGGATCCTTAAGGGTTTAAAAGCTATCAATAAGACTACAGTAAGCAGTGAATTGCTTATGAGTAACAATAAATGTTTAATACTCCCAGGATTTGATATTAAATCCTTGTCATACGTTTTTATAAATATTTTGACTATTTGTATCTATTATAGACAAATTATGTTAACTTACAGGAACTTAAATACTCGTCGAGAGATCTCTAGGATGAGCACAGAAACTAGGATGGTATACACATAAAACACAATAATTTTGCATAAAATTAGAAAACATTAATTAATATATAATCCTGAGTATTCTTGTAGGTTGGATCTCAATAAGGTCAATCAGTTAAAGTAAAAAAAGGTAATTTTTAGGTTTAAAAGTGTTTAACTATACTGAAACACTCAACACTTTTTAACACCGATAAAACTACACCACTTCCATTCGTACTATCACACAGTTTGTATTTTACAATGAGCTTATGCAGCGACAAGCCACATCTATGTCCGAGAATCATGTGTTAGATTGAGACGGTTGAATTACATTTTAAATGTTATTTCAATTAACTAACTCTAAGTTAGTAGTCACTCATTGAATTTACCGCCTTGATTGTAAACCCAACAGGTGTACAAAAATATTTTAAGGTTAATTTAAAAGTTTTGAGGGCTTTCAATACTATATTTTTAAATATAGTTACGGCCGTGAAATTTTTTTAATGTTAAAGGATTTTACTTGATATGATTCACCATACACCAAAATTTAAACTTAATAGTAAAATAGGTATTTTCTAATGGAAAAATAATTACTTATAGGATTAATGATTGTTCTTCCCCAAAACAAATGATTCCTGGACAGAAGAAGGGCATCGATACATCAGTACTCAAATTAGGTACAGTACTGACTCAGAACCGGCGACTGCGAATTTTTTAAAGGAATGTTAAATTATATGTCTGACGACAAAACTCTTCGAAGTAACAAAGCGTAAGATTGTCGTCAATCAACAGCTGAAAAAACTGTTTCTGTCGTTAGCGGAGGGAACATGATTCTTCTCCGACTAGATGTTCTCACTTCTCCGCCAACTAGAAATTCGCAGCTCCGGTTCGACTACGCTACTCGCTTTTCAGTTTATTCGAGAACGGGTCGCCGATAGGATTACCGTTCTTTTTCCGAACGCTACGTGACACTAATGACGGCTCTGCTTGAACCCGAGTCCTTGCTCGACGGAGCAGATGACGTCGAAGGAGAGTTCTTTATACACTTGCCTGTGAGCTGGTTAACACTGAGCGGGTTGTTGATGTCATGGGGGTTGGTCCCGACAGGGTTGCGGGGGGGTGGTGCAAGATGGTTGATGAGTAGCGGCAGACAAGGGGCAGGTGAGTCCAGCTGATGAGGTGTGAGAGGTGATTGCAGACTTAGGCCGCAGGGGGAGGCCAGAGATACGCTGGGGGACGCTAGACTAGCCGAAGGGGAAGGTAGGATCATGGAGGGAGAGGTGAGACTGCTGAGGCCGCTCAGGCCGCCAGGCGAGCTCACACTCTGTTGGAAGCTCTCTGTGTCATCGTCAGGAGGCGTCGTTGCTTCGCCCACACTCCCGCAGCTCCCCAGGTTGTCCTCCGACTGGTTACCATCGTCACCACACTCCATGTACCGGATGCACTTCTTCTTACGTCTGTAAACCCATTATTAGAGTTATTAAACGAGATTAATAGTATGTTAGAGAAACAGTCCAACACCATGAAAGCAGATAAAAACTTTAAAATATTTAAACTTTCTTTTATAGCTTAAGAAAAGACAAATTAGAACTAAATTCAAAAGGGAGACTGTAAGACAGTTGCATAGTGACACATAAGAAATAAATCCAATCAACAGGATTAATTTAATAGCTATAACAATTTAAATAGGTGAGTTTAACAGTAGGTACATATTTTCTTATGAGACCCAGTTAGAAAATTGTTTCTTATATAATGGGGAAAAAAAACTCTTAATGATACTCGTTCCTCCTGATGCTAAGAAAACAGCCATCATCAGTATTAATTCATTGGGGGAAAAAGTGTTAAAGATTCCACAACAATCGTACTTAATTCAAGAAGGAAGAACACTAGATCCGATATAGAGATTGTCAGGAACATATGAACGATGCCTAAATGAGCAATAATAGTACACATAGAGTACTTTGGGTATACTCATTATTTTCCTTCCAATCTGCTTGTTCATGATTAAGATTGGTATTTTACTGCACTTAATTGATGAATGAACAAATAGCATGCTGAATGATAAAATGCATGTGAAATAAATTAATGACAGATCAATATAATAAATACTGTCTCTTACATAAAAAGTTTTGTTCAAAGTTGTTTTTAAAGTGAATCATATAATTTCTTATGGTGTGTAGATATTTCTATTGTTGACAAACCATCTTAATGTTTTTAAATTGTAGTTATTTTGCTGTGAGAAAATTTAAATAAAAATTTTACAATAATAACTATTTAACTTTTAACTTCAGACCAAGCAAAATAATGATAGGCCGATAAAATTTCAACACACAATTAGTTAAAAACAAGACTTATTTAATTTCAAAGCATAAATCCCAGAAATTACACTTGGTGAAGTGCAATGCATTGTGAACAGTTAGAAAAGACAGAGGTCACTTTAAATATAGGCTTATGGGTGCTTACATGCAGGGAGCATTGGGTCATGCAAAAACAATAAAATTGATTCCTACGACATGTTAAAGAAACGGCCATTCAAATGTTAAAACATTGAAGTCTGCTGTTAAATATTACAATGTTCACATTATAATCAAAACAATGAGATAAGAAAACTAATACTAATATAAAACGTAGTATTATTGGAAAACACAACAAAAAGGACGTAAATACGGCGATAAAAACGAAGACTGCAAAACAAACTCCTACAACCATGCAAATCAGTAGTAATATAAGGTGTCAAATCGAAATCCTAATCTACAAAAGACAACGAATAAAACCAAAAAAAGAGAAACAAAACAGATAATATTAATTCATGAACTCTAACTGATGAACAGTCAATCAAACACACAACAAATAGACTGAATGTAAACAACGACAAGGAAAAGGACTCACGAAATCCTAGAGATTAACATAGGTCGGTTCTTGAGGGGAGGCGGCATTGCTAGGCCCATGATGGACCAGACTATGGACCAATCCTTGCGAACTAAGCTCGGGGCTGTTCACAACAGAACCACCAGTCACAACCACACAGTAATCACTAATTACCCACACCCAATACCTCTCATATCCCCATTACAATCCTATCACCACCAGTCTTCAATCTTTTCTCTGTGGGAAGACACTCTAATTTACCATGGGCCCCTTTCTCATTGGTACAGCTTTTAAATCACAACAAATGCTTGGTAAAGAACCTATTGAACTAATAAAAATTGGTTCTAATACTCTTATGGCGTAGGCCTGTCTTTCCACACAGATAAGATAAACACAGATTTGTTGTTTAAATAGAACCAGGGGCCACTCTTTAAGATCTTGGAACGTTGGACTGAATGTAAATGGCCAACAACCACGAATCACACGTAACTCTCTACTCTGATCTAGCAACTACTGGTGAAGGTGTTCTAAGTCTACAGTAGATCTACTTTGAGTGACCCCTGTCATCACGCACACACATGGTTCTACTTCTGATCAAAGGCCGCTAGAAATCATTTTTCATTTTCTGTACTTTGTTAAAGCAGGGATAGGTTTATATGCCTTCTATACATGTCACCACAAAATTGAACTACATAACATCGACAAGTCCCAAAAAAGGTAAATATACTAAAATTGAAAATTGTTAGGGGAAACTATTCATATACAATTTGTCCCTTATTTTAATAGATACTAACAACAGAAGTGACTCATGGTTAAATGTATAACCCTCATTTACGAGGCAAAATAAGTCAAAACTCCCAGCCACCCGGTCTGATAATCAGGATCTACTTTGAGCGTTAAGCAAAATTATCTTTAAATGAAATCCAATGATTGAGCTATCCAAACTACATCCATTACTGGGAAAAAACAGCGCAAATTAGGAATTTTGAATTTTTAGTTTAGGAAAATACTTAATTCCTACTGATAAGGAGAATAAATATGTAGTTAATACGTGACTTTTTTATTCCTCAATTTGGTTGTTAGAAAAATAACTTCTAGCGGCCGATCTGACCATGCGGCCACCGAGTACAGTCTGGTGATTTAACAAGCGACCTACCTGCACGGCTTACACCACTGGCTCTGCTGGTCCAGACCATACCTCGCTCTGCATTTCTTCATTGAGTTACCTGTCAAATATGAATCAGTTAGTATCAATCAGTCATAGAACAGCTGTAGTCTAAACTGTTTGTCTCATTGTTAAATAAGAAAAATATTTTAGATGGGACAATTTAAAAAGTTTTGATTATAATTGGCTGTCACCTATTCCTCAATTTTATATTAAGATACAAATATTTTGTGTCTAATATTAAATTTGTCGTCTTAGATATTAAAAATCTTATGTTCTTTCCTAGCCAAACTAGTTCAATGTTAATATACTAACAAGAAATGTCAGCTATTACATGCCGAATCTAAATCATCAACATTATAGAAGAGCCACAACATACAATACATTTTTGCTATTAAAGAAATTATAAGATTCTATGTAATTAAATATTTTCTAAAGATTAATTCGCAAAAATTTGGTTCAGCTTTCTTAAGAGTAAGGTTAATGGCCTTTTGAATTAAATATGAATACATTAGTGACAGGAATGACATTTAATCAAATTTGATGGAGATAGAGAATGGCCATTTAAAACCACAGAATGTAACTTAATGATTCTGGTTTGTTTATTCAATAAATTTGAAGGAAGGCAAGTGAAGTGGAGCCCAGTGAAGGGCTCTTGGCTCTCCTCTTATCAGCTGTTGTGTAATGGCAGTGACTGACTAACATTTCTAATGATGCGATTGCACTCATGTTCTTATTTCTTAGACTTTATTTTGGTTAACTTTTTAAAAGTATAGGTACTTTAGTAGTTAAATATATTGCGTTTAATTCATTGCCTGAGATATTATAAAATAAATGTTGTTGAAAATGCACTGACATAAGGGTAGTTTAAGACAAATCGTAAATTAATACTTTTATTTTCAATAAATGAATTCATTTTAACTTTAGTTAATTCATTATTTACTACAATTATTTAAAATTTATGGCCTGTGGCTTCATTTAATATGACAAAACTTATATCATGTTATCAATATATTATTTTCCATTTTTTAGCTCGCAGATTGTTTACTCTATTTAAAAACTTTGAGTTAAATTTTGCGATTTATAAATTAGGCCACATTACAAAAGAGTAATTTAAGGGTGATTTCAACTGATCTCTGCAATATTTTATAATTTTCATGGGATGCTTAATACATTCTTAAGCAAATAGTATGTCACTACAACAGCTACAACTAATATTCCCAGCTACAGTTTATTTTCAATGCCACAAATAATACCTTAGTGTATACTTAAACTAAAAAATACAAACATGCAACAAGCAAAACAAGCAATCAACGTAAAAATATGAGCCTAAAATAAAATATGTCCTTCATCAGAAAGGCCAACCAACCACCGCAGATAACGTTCCATGAAAACAAAACAATCTGATATACCAGCAAAATATATTGTAAATATAAAATATGAAATCGAATACGTTGAAGATATTATAATAATTTAAATTAAAGTCAAAATATGTAGAAGACGACGAACAAAATTTAAAACATGCAACAGCCAACAAACACCCCTTAAAAGAAGCAAAAAAATTGTAAAATGGGACACATACTGACACTGTTCCATAGACAGTTCATTTTCTGTAATAAACATGTATAACAATAGATCTTAAAATGTTAAAATTAAACCTTTAATGAATCTGATGAGCTGATCAACACTGAATGAATGGAACAGTATCACGGATACGTGCGTCGATAGGGATAAGGAGAGGACCACGAGGTTTAAAAAAGAAAAATCAAAGAGAAAGAGAAAAAGAAGTAAAAAACCGACCAGTAAAACAAGCCAAGTAGAATAAATAAATGAATAAAATATAGAATAAAAGAAATTGGAAGGAAAGGAGGTTTTGATAGACGAAGGGTTGCGGGTACCTCCTTCATTGGTTTCTTGCTTCCGTTTCCTCTTCTTGGCTCGGTTGGTGTTTGCACGCGAAGACCAATCCGGATAGAGCTGCATGTGCAGCTGTCTCTCACGTCTGGCCAGTTCATAATATTTGGCCTGTTCGTCCCGGCCTAAAGCGTGCCACTACGCATGACACATACAACAACAATTAATGACCTGTTGTTAAAATTTTGAAACAATAGAGTTGTGATTCAATAAAGAAGCGGAAGAAAGATCGAACAGTATCATCTTGGAACTATTCCCCTCGTCCAGTCAGTGCCGTCGTAAAATCTTAGATTGTAAAGACCGAATGTCAGAGAGGGTAGGACTCAGAGAGGGTTTGGGAGTTGGTTATTCCTTTAAGGGATGCGTTTGTGGCTAAACATCTTATCGTTTTTGTATCAGGCGATTGGTTGGTCGGTTTTCCGAATTGTCAGACAAAATAGCTGCTGACACACCCCAAGCCTTGCGCGGTAAACTTTGACAAAACTCAAGACAAATACAGCAAAACTCCACTACATCTAACTCAAAATCTATAGAAATCGCTCAGATTGTCTGTACTAAATCTACATTCTAGATCTTTAGTACTACAACAAGAATTTTACAAAACGAAACTTGGGGTATATCTAAGCTGCTAGCACTGAGTCCGAAGCTACCTCCTGAATCCGAGATGGGAACTCGCTCTTTCTTTCGCTTCTTCTTCTTCGCTCCATAGCCGTAATTGTCGCGGGCGCTCCAGCCCGGATACAATTCCATGTGCAGTTGTCTCTCCTGCCGCGCCTTCTCGTAATACTTGGCCTGCTCCTCACGCGTTAACGAATGCCACTTCACAGACACACAAAACAATCATCTTCTCAATAGTTACAATATTTTTATTTTAATAATTTCAGGTTAATATTTTGTATTGCAAAATATTATTTATGTAAATTGTGTATACATACTGAAGTTAAAAAATTAAATTCAAAACACCTCAGCCCAAAACAATTCAACAAACAAGATATTTCAAGCTTGATTTCTTTTTCTGTTTTAAGTTTCACAATCAGAGATTTTTTGGGAATAATTTCATTGGCTCTACTCTAGTGTATTTTGAAGAAATACACCTTGAAAATCAGCGAATCAACTGCTAAGTCTGTGGATGTAAAACTATTGATTAAAAACATCGATGTTTTTCTATACATTGACTAGAAACATTATATTATAGAGAGATGCAACACTTACTCTTCTACCGAGGATCTGGTTGATAGCTGCACTCTCCTTGAGTGTACACTCCGCCACCACCTTCGCTCTCATCTCCTTCATGTACAACATGAACGCATTCAGAGGCTTCTTAATGTGAGGCTTCTTTTTGTCTAAACATAGCAATTCAATAATTTGGTAAAAATGTTGTAACATAGCTCGGTTGCTGAGTGGTTATAGTGTTCAGCTTATAAGAAGGATTTTATTTAAAGAAAGGCTTAAAGAAAGACTTAGCTGTCCTTGATCATTGAGTTTTTTAAATGGTTCTGGCTAAAAAAAACCTGGTCTTGTTCAGTAGAAAAGCTAAAGAAGGTATCTCCGGTATACACACATCTTTCACTAATATTTACTTTAAAATAATCAACATTGTATACTCTGACTTAATATGATGGTAATGATGATCCAATAATACAGGGTATTTATAAAAAAAAACTTGTCATCATTACACAGTAAAAATAGCTTTTAATGCATGCCTTGAGGGTCTACAGTAGTATTATTACTCTCTAGGGAGTAAAAACCGGTTTTAGCCCCCAGGGAGTAACTATCAGCTGTTATTGTCAACTCAGTTGCAAATTTTGATTGTAAACAATCGTATGTATCAAAAGTATGTATAGATTGATTAATCGGTTATAGCTTAGCGATTCAATCATTTACTTATCAGCTAGTTGCTTGTTTCCATTAGCAAACTAAATTAAAAACAAGTTAGAAGCAGTTTTCAGAGGTTATCATCAAATGAAAACTATTTTAGTTTTGTAAAATAGTTTGTTTAAATAATGGTGCAATATGACAAAAAATATAGTTCATCACTCGGGCAAAAAGTGTCTTTACAACCTTCGATAATTTTCCGACTGAAACTTGAGCTCGGGTCGAAAAGAGTCACTTTTGGCCCTAATGATGAAATATACAACTTCACCATTCTCCCATTCTCTTTCCATGTGACATAAAAGTTTTCTAAAAACACCACATAAAAAAGTGTGTAAACAAGTTTTAATAAGTAGCAGTGTTATTAGGTGATGGACTTGTTTTGCTACTTGGTAAACATTATTATATAATTTATGGGTCTTGTTGGAAGCTCGTATTTAAGATCATATTAATTGGCCTCCTTGGTCACCAGATATTACCCCGTTTGACTTATTTGTGTGTTTACATTTTGTTGTTTACAATTTGCATTTGTGGTTTAAGTGAGTTCCTTATGTTATGTGCATGTTTATAAAGTTATGTGCTTAATATGTACCATTAACTAGGATTGCAGGTAAATGTAGTATTTACTATTTACAATAATGTAAACTTGAAACAGTTCAGATGATTGACAACAGAATTCCGCACAAACTCTGAAATTTTAAACCCCTGTAGGACGAAGAAGGGCTTTCACGAGATATCATCCAAGCCCGCAAAAGGCATATAAAACAATGAGCAAAAGGATGAGCTTTAAATTAATACCCAATATGCCTATAAAAATAAATATTTAGGGGTTGATTTGCTGCACACAAAAATCAAACAAACTCTTTTAATAATATAGATAACGGATTAATTTAGTACACAAATAAAACCTAGAACTGAAACTGGTTGGTCAGTAGAAGCTATTGTTTTTACTTTCTCCCCCTGTACAGTACATGGAGAAAGTGTTGTTTTCGTCAAAATTTTCATGTTTGAGTTTTGAGGGGACCAAAAAAGTGGTTTTCGAAGTGATGTCTGTGTCTGTATGTGTGGATGTGTACAGAGCTACAGACTACACCTGTGGTCCGATTTTGATGAAATTTTGTATATAGGTACTAATCCATGGTATCTCCAGGCGTTTTTTTTCATTTTTTTGAAATTTTGATTTTTAATGTGGATTTTCCCATAAAATAACGGAAAAATTTGACTGTCTCGAAAATTACTTGTGGAAAATGGTTGTCTTGAAAACGATTTTGATTACAACTTTAACAACATAGTGCAACCCCCCCATTCCTGTAAAAATTACGGTTCATAAGTTATTTAACTTGTGTTATTTTCCCATAAAAACCCATATGAAAAAACTGAAATAATGGATAAACAAAAACTAATTTTGATTGAAATTTCTCTGTAATGGTCCTTATATTTCGAAACAAAATAGTGATAACCCCCATTCCTGTAAAAATTAGGGTTCTAAATTTAATGCAACTTTTGTGATTTTAACTATTAAATACCACGGTTACTCTCATCGCTTACCCATGACATTGGTTGTTGACAAGCTAATAGGAGAAAGTATGTGTCAGATTGCTGATACCTTTTATTTTTTTGTTATTTTTTATTTAATTTTAAATGTATTTTAACTGTAGGGGGGACCTATAACAATTGATTTATTAGAGGATCAGGTTTGAGCAATTGTAACCAAGTGTGTAATAGTAGGAAATGAGCACGTCATTATACCTTAAATAATCATAATTAACAAAATTAGAAACAGATTCAGAAAAAAAAATATTTTGAAATTAGAAATGTTCAGTTTATTTTTTATGCTAATCAAGCACATAAATACTGCATAGGTTAGTGTATACATTTTGTATTTAAGGATTTAACGACTAATTACTAAATTGTTGATATAAAATGTGTCATTTTTATATTTAGGGAAAACGAAATTTGTAATTAAATAATAAAACACTCAAAAGATATAGCTGAGATTAACCGAAGTATTTAAAAAACCAGCAAAAATAATATGATGTTCTACCTTTGCCTGTTAATTTAAAACTGAATTTACCTAGAAGATTTTTGTTTAGTTATATTAAATAAATGACTCCTACTTTGTTTGTAACTGATTGATAACTTAGTACCTAATGATAGTAATGAGCATAGTAATAGTATTGATAAACATATTCCATCATTATAGATTATATTAGTTGTTAAAAATTGTATTACTGTACTCAAACTAAAAACAATACCACATTTTAGACCACATAAAATACCATAAACCCCTTTTGAAGCAGACATGTAATAAACAAGGTGATAAAATATAACTACAGAGACGTATTTGAACAAATCAGTCTCTTTCAATTAGGCTACTTTTTTTAGAAACTCAACACTTTTAAAAATTAAATTTATAGTATGTTATTCTGAGACAGGTAAAATAACATTTTAAGGTATTGTTGTGGTAATTCATTTACCTTTCTTGAATTGGTTGTTCAGTTTGGTGGGATTTAAACAGTTTGAATAAATGACTGTTGGAACAGTGGGATGTTTTACACTACAAGATACATATTTTTATGTGCGAAAATTAAAAAAAAATAGTCAACTACTTAAAAATGTTACCAGAATAATTAGTATTCTTCAAACGTTACTAAATTGTATTGCATATTTATTACATTTACTGTAGAAAACTTAAATGTATTCCAAGTACAAATAAGCTGTTTTAGCAACTTCAAAGCAAGTTACGTGTATGGTTCACAAATAAAAAAATCCATTTGGAATTTGTATGGACCGACCAATAAAATATTATAAAAGATATTTTTATTCAAAACACGTGTTAAAACAAGACCTTGATTCTACACACAGTTAAAATGCCACACTAATAAACAATGAAAGTTGTGATTAGCCTACCTTGGTTATTACTTGTGTGGCCTGAGTCCTGAGATTTGCCATCATTGAGTGAGTTCTTGTGGTCCATGGAAGAAGACCTAAAACAGAAGATTCACTGTAAAATTGGTAACATAATTAGCTACTTTAGATCGTACTGTGTGATGTGTGGTGATGGGGATTACCGTTTCTGCTTGGTCCTCTTGACGGGCATCTTCTCGTCAGTAGAGGTGGAGGTGGAGGTGGGTGACGCCGGTGTAGGTGCCGTGGCGGGCCGAGGGACGGTGATACTGAGGCTGTCTGTAGTAGCGGAGGTCTGAGTCTGGGTCTGCACCATCTGCCAGAACCTCTGCTGCGCCCACATAGGCGAGAACTGCGTGTCCGGGTACTGCGGGTATACCGGGTACCCCGGGTACGGCGGCAACACTCCCGACGACACTAAACTCCTCATGTACAGCGCCGTCAGAAAGTTCGACTCTATCATCGGATACCCTCTCTCGCCCGTCCGTCGGTATCCCATCCCGGCCTTGTCCCAATAGTTTTTATTCAAGTCTTCTACGAGCTTTCCTTCACCTTCCTCCTTGTTGTCCACTCCCTCGTCACGCGACTTTTTGCCGACACTGAGGTCCTCCACTTCCACCTTGATCTCATCGTCCTCGGACTCCGCCCCCTTTCCATCCCCGTCCCCGGGATCTACCACTGACGACGGTGCGACTACTGCCACCGGTTTAGGCTTTTTCTTAACTAAATTCAAAGGTTCGCAGTCATAATATTCTTCCATTTTAAAATTAATTTAATCACATTGTTTTTAACGTTTTAAATATAAATCGTTTACTAACAAAAAATAATTATTTAAATCGAGTTTACGAATGAGAATATTTTATAGTAAAATATTTATAGTAAAAATATATCGTAACAGTAATTAAAAACTAAAATCAATTTTAATAGCACCGAAATGGCCGCAATAGGCGGTTTTAATCCACTCGGTATGACCGAACGAGGAGATGTGAGTTCAGTAGCAATATAATCTTATCAGCACACTTACACCAGTGTCGACTACAGTACTTATCTAGCACATAGCACATGTACGACACTCCGTTATCACTGTTATTGTCGATCTTATAAAACGGCTAAATATAAAAATAACGCTATCACCAGAAATCACTCGCATTAAGGCGGCTATCAGATCAGATCAGCCTCCATTCTCGGCAATATCACTTGTTACATCGCGACGATTCACATTTCACTTCCAACAAACACTTTAAACTCCGCAATTTACTGCTCGAACAGGTGTCCGACAAAAACACGCCCGTCTGAGCTTATCCCGCTGGACCCACGGTGGTGTAGAGGATCGGCCGATTAGCTGGGTCATTATAAATAAATTTACGACTCGTTTATGAAGCATTCAACAGGGGGTACCAAAACAAAGGATATGTCATCGTCGCGACGTAATGACGTAAATAACGCGCAAAGACTATCGATGTTCCCCGCTCGAGATGGGAAACATAACCTCAAAACAGCGGTAAACTCAAATGTATCACACACTTACCGCGAGGTGGCGCCGGGGAAACGTAAACAAAACTAGCTCTTAGAGTCGCTTTCTCGAAATAAAGTTAATTTTTCAACTAGAAAATCACCATACAAATAAAGACGAACTAAGCACTTATATCGAATTGCAATTCTACGATTCGAGTAGTTATATTTGATTGTCCGGGAGAGACGGACGGAGGGGGGAATTTTTTTGAGGAGGGTCAGGAATTGGCGTCAATAATGATAAACCAGTGTCATCAGTTAGAAGCGACAACTGCAATAATCATAAATGTGCTGTGCGTCGCGTGTGGTGACTGAGGTGAAGGGAGGATTGTCGAATGAGACCGCGACTAGAGACACGGCGAGACACGGCCGAGGCAGCGGTGACGTCGAGGTACGCGCGGCTGCCACTTCCAGTAAGAAATGAATTTAAAAGACAAATTGAGGAGTCGTTTTGGGCTGAGATGTTATCAGAGTGTTTATCGATCCCCGACCCTCCCTCGGTGACGAAGAATGCGAGCACACGCGCAGGCGCGCGGACGGAGCCCACTTCGCCGTGTGGTGCTGCCCCTAGCGGTGGAGACGCGAACCTCTAACAATACTGGACATCCACAGAACAGGGCATTGTTGCTTTCGGGTAGAGAACAGATACGTTTAAAATTTCACCCTGACATACAGATGATAAAAAAAAACTCATAATAAACAGTACACATAAGTTAAACAATCCTGGATGCAATGATAAATAAACAATAAACATAAGTTAAGTAAAGTGTTGAATACAAGTCACTTTTTGTTTTGTTTTTAAACTCAAGTCGCAACATTCTAAATTGACTATTAATCTACTATACTGTATTATATATTAGTAAAAAAATAGTCAATGAGCGCGTTCTGGGAACATGTACCGGTGCAGCAAAAAATGTGTCGTTCTGGGAGACCGGTGAGTTAACCTAGCAGACAGCTATTTCCTCTTTTTCCTCCTCCGGTGCAAGATTTATGCACCGGAGAAATTGTACAGTATACACCGGTGTATACACCGGCGGCCTCTGATTGGTCAGTTTCTTTGACAACAGCTTGCAGCTACGGCAAGATGGCGGATCCACCGAATAATGTTAATTAGTTTTATAGGTTATGTTACGTAATGAGTGAAAATTTGTTCAATGAGAGGGTTATATTACGTAATAAATAATAAACAATAATTTTCAAACAATTTATTCCGTGATGGCAAGTCTGTTTGTTTGATTTAAATATTATTAAGCAAATAGTAGGTGAATGTATAACTTATAATCCGATGAACTTCTGGGATACCAAGACTCTTGCCCCGGGGCGGCACCGGTGAGCAAGTCACCGGTTAATCTGCACCGGTACACCGGTACATGTTCCCAGAACGCGCCCATTGTTTTTTTAACATGCACAATGCTAATGTTAGAGTGTAAAGTATAGAAGGATACGATTCGATTTTTAATCGAAAAAGAAAGTGTTTACATAATTAAACCTGTGTGACCATGTCAGTTGTATTCCTTCATAGAACATCAACCGTGTAGTTACTGTATGTTGGATAATGGAGTTTATATTGGAATCTTCTCATAAGCTTCCTCTCATCGATGTGCAAAAAGTCCAAAAAAGCATTCACATTTTATTAAAATATGCTAAAAACAGGTATCAAGTTTGAGGCAAAAACGGTGCCAAAATATTTTACTGTTATTTTTTACATCAGTGCATAAACTAACTAATCCCAATGGCATTTTTTAATACTTAGTTTTACAGCGATTTCACTTTTATAGGATAATTTGTGACATTTCTTACTGTAACTAGTGGTATATCTCGCTTACAGTGGTATTTAATATCTATGCAGGCTTTAAATACTTTCCACCCCTTGGAAGATTAACTGAATTCGGTTAAAGTTTAGTTTTGTGTCTAGATTAACCGGTCCCTCCACAAAGAGATAACACATACATGTGTTTTAAGGTACATTTAATTTTATTTGCATAACAAGACGAGCCGTGACAGGTCGTATGCTAAATAACATTGTGACATATCCTTTACTAACTAACACCACGAAGACACATTCTCCGAATGGAAACAGAATATAAAGCAAGGTTGTTCGTTCTAGCCAATGCCTTGGATGACGGTTTGTTTTGGCTAGTTACTGTCCACACTCACACACAAGACATTGCTTTTCCTGGAGATGCATCACTTGGATGACATCGGAGGGTTATTGTTATTGTTATTGTTATTGATGGAGGTAGTTCAATGTGAATAATAGGTGATGATCAAAGACGATGCAAGCTTACTGAGCGACTAATGCATACAACAATTACATTTTCACAAATAATAGTGTGTTAAAGGAAAAACTCAAAATGGTCATGTTCAACAAATCAAGTTGTTTTAATCCTGTATTTAATCGTTTAATCTGAAATAAAACTTTTCGTACCGAATAGTTTAACAAGCGTGATGAGAATTAACATTGTTTGGATAAAAATAAGCTATTCCGGTATTTGGAAATCTTAATATAAATAGTTAATATATTATAGTTTTAATTAATTTGTATCAAATTAGCTCAATTAATTATTATATCATTAAGATAAAACAATACATTTAATATCAAACTGATACATATCAATTAACATAATAAAGTGTTCCATTTAATTACATTCGAGCCCAAGTACTGTACAACCAAATTGATCTATAAGATTGTCAAGTATAATACTTTTGCAAAGAACAATTTATTCCTGAACGCATTACATTTTTCTTTGTATTTTTTGATCAAATAACGTGAGTTAATACCAATAAATATGTAAAAATTTTCTGAGTCTCTACACTAAAAACTATATAATTTAGACACAGGACAGTTAAGAAATGGTTTAATAACTGCAGCAACGTTAAACTGAAATATTTAAAGAATTGTTAATAAATGTTAGTCATTAGAGTTTCATATTTTAACAACACCATCTATATATTAAATACCCTAGGCATATATCATAAATCTAATTAAACCAAATGGTGAATAGAGAGTCAATGCAAATTTAAAATATATTCATATTGAAGATATCGAGGATATAAAATAAGTGAAATTAAATACTACGTTTAAAATTACCAAGTTCTTATATTATTTAGGTAGGACTAATGAGAATGACGGATGGCTGTGATTTGATCTAAGAAATAACGCAATTAACAATTTTTGCTTCAGTTATTTGAAGATTTATGTTAAAGAAGCCTATGTGCATGCCTAAAAAAACAACTAACTACTGCCTAAAAAAACTGTCTAACAGAAACTATCCAAAATTGAACATCCCATTTACGTAAATTGCACATAACAGCAAACTAATTTGATAGCAGCTGTCACTTCGTTAGGATTGTATTTCTATCAACAGTCGACCTCTTTGTCGAATCAGCTGATTATCAGCTGATAAGACTGGATCCGTCTCCTAAAACAGGGAGACGAAGGCTCATTTGTCTCGCTCGGAGGGTTGGCCACACTGCTTCATTACCGTTGAATGGGAGATTGTTTTCATATCGCCAACTGCTCATGTTGGTAGGCCTGGCACAGTCTCAACAGCTGATTGTAACATAGCAATTAAACATATCTCTGTATTACCGAGACAACACGTCATCATTAAAATGTCCGGGTGCCGTGCCGCTAAGTTTAGGAATATACGTTCCGGACTCCGGTGCAAAAGTAACTCTGTCTTCATTTTCACTTTTTGTTACTGCCCTGGTTAATTTACGAAACTCGAAAAGAACTTATGTAATAATTGTGTTACTCATCACTGTGTAAACAAATGTTTATACACTGAACTTACTCAATCGCGTTCCTCTTTCAGATATGATTAAATTCCAAAAATATGTTCACCCGTACGTGCGCGATTCTGATACGACTTTTAACGTGGTCATCTTTGTCATATAACTAAATAAGCCAAACCGTACGCCATCCGTCCCTGTATTAAATAAATACAAACTTTCAAATAGACAAACAATAATTTTAGTCGCCTACTTTACATGGTGTGAAGTTGTTTTCACAAAAGCAATCATACCGTTTAGACGGGTTCGATGTAAAGTATAATATGGGAACATTTATGAAACTATCAGATTAAATTAGTTACAGGGTAAAACAACAAGTTGCTTTTTAAATCACAGCTATAGAAACCCCCTCTAGTCCCAAATATTAACAAACTAATGACAACTTAAAAGCCATAGAAGCAACTCGACCTGTTCCAGAGAGAGCTGTG